ACTGACGTTGGTCCTGCGAAGTAGCTCAGCTCTTTTCTCTGCCCACTCCTGCTTCCTTCATTTCCTTCCTATAGTTGTTGATCTCAAGGTCACACTATAATAAACACCTTGTGCATCCTGCATGCTAAAATCTCACATTCTGCCATTCATGAAACCCAGTCTGTGACAGACATGTCCAGGTTTACTCATTTATCATTGCATTTTATTTATACATAACTGAGTACCATAGTTCTCCCATTACAAAAAAAAACACAAACCCCTGCTCAGATGTTGATGATGATGGCTGCAAACCTTTTAAATAGCTCTAGCACCCTCAAATGACCATGAATTCTAAAGTCTTATTTGTAGGGGTCAGGGGAAAGTTTGCTAACAAAGGCTTGCTAATTTAGCAACTAACTTTGCAGACAGTCATTCTGGTAAATATAAATGCAGAGACTTGGATGCTGTCCCATATGCCTCCTGTCCTGAAAATTTAGCCTTCCCTTTGGGGAACAGGTTTTATACTCTCTAAGTATAATCACTTTTGGAGAAGGAATCAATAAGTACTTAGAGAACCATGAGAGAGGTTTGGAAATTAGAAAATCATCCAACCTTGCGTGTACTGAGACATGATTTAGAATACAGAGAGGAATTCTAAACTCACATCTAAGCTCTCAGTAGTAAATCACTCACTGGCCTTTGCATAAATCTTGAAAGCAGATGAACCAGGGGGTTACGAAACCCAGTTTGGTCTAAATATTCACTTAGAACAATGTTAAAATCGTTACTATTGATAGTTTATGGGGCAATTTTATAATCATAGACAAAATTATTTTTTCTTGAACTTGTAAGTTACTCTTGGCTGAAGAATGAAGAAATGGATTATTTATGGCCTTGGAAATTTCTCAGTGTTTCTTAAATCTACAACAAATTGCCTAGTTTTATCTTTAAAGGAAATAGGTCCGCTAACAACTGAAGACTTAAAATTGATGGACTGACTTTTCTACTATCACACTTTCCAGAGGAGTTTTTAAATTCTTACAACCACCAACACTTAACTGGGTTTTAGTATTCTTTGTCATTTAAATGAGTTTCTGCATAAGAACAATACTAAAATTACCCTACACTATTGGAATGCTTCCCTTTGATGTTAATAACACATCTTTGACATGCAATAAGATGTTTAAACCATATATTTCTTCAACAGAATAAAGCCTTTCCAAAAGCACCTTATACCAGAGAACACTTGTTGTTAATGTAAGTTTTATCTGTAGAAAATAAATGCAGTAATAGTTTGCATTAATCCAAGACCTTTCTAATACTAGATTTGTAGAACAGCATACTCATCCTTCTTATAAAGTGAAGAAAAGCCACTGTAATCATGTCACATCTGCCTGTTATTTCAGTTCACACTGAGTAGAAGAGGAAAATTACCTATTGTGATAATCATTTGTCTGCATCAATAAAATTTACTGTAATGGGAGAGCGACCAGTACATGCTATTTCATATGCCTACCATTTCTTCTAGGGCCGGTAGGTACACTTTGTTGAATACTGTCTGCAAAGCTTCACACCTTAGACCTGGGAGTACAGTTCAGTACTGGAGTATTTACCTAGCATATGTGAGGTCTTCATTTCCATCTTCAGCACCACAAAAGAAAGAAAGAAAGAAAAAAAGAAAAAAGAAAGAAAGAAAGAGGGAGAGAGGAAGAGAGAAGGAAAGAAAGAAGGAAGAAAGGAAGGAAGGAAGAAAGAAAATAATTCATACCCACTCAGAGCCCCACAGAGGTCCTATTGGACTAGGGTGGGCCTATACTTAGTATCACTCGTGTCCTTATAAGAGGGATGATTGTACAGAGAGACCCACGTGGACACAGAGGGAAGATGGTAGAGGCAGAGATTGGAGTGATGCAGTCATAAACCAAGTAACAGAATGTGGCCCTGCCAATACCTTTTTCCAGACTTTTAGTCTCCAAAATTGTGAAAAAATAACTTTCTGTTGTTTTATGCCACCCAGTTTGTGGTAATTTGTTTTGGCCACCCTAGGAAAATAAGAGTGCAGAATACATTAGCCCAAAGTAGTTGGGCAAGAACACTAGGGAAAAGTACTTAATATTGTCTTATTTTGTTTTGCAGGATGCAGCAGATAACGCCGGTGCCCTACCCAGATGCTCTCAGAGTATCTTTTTCTGAAGCCTTTGCTCCTTCCCCCAATTTCAATATGTTTTTAATACCTAGCACTTGTGCTGCTCTTCAGAAGGCAAACTTCTGGCTACCAGATCACTTTTCCTTCCAAAAGTGCCAGGGAACTTACCACTTTACCACCCCTGCTGCCTTTGATGAATGACCGGTTCAGAAGAATGAAAACCTACCATCCTCAGCCTCGGTTGGGATATCTCTCAGGCGTAACTTACACTCCAGGGGTCACCTATGGGAAGCTACTTTCTATGGGTGTGGGCCAGACTCAGCACTAGGGTGAACAAATCACTTTGCTAGGATTTCCTCACTTTTAGCAGTGACCAAAAGTTCCTTTGTCCCTAGAAATTCTCCAGGCCACAGAAACCAAGATGCTTGGTTGCTGTAAATGGCAGTCTTGTTAGGATTCTTCCCTTTCCTGGTCCTATTCTCCTTGTCCCCTACATCTCCCTTAGAAGTAAATCACCCCTACACAAATCCCCATGCGGGATTCCTTGTGGGGAATCTGGCTTCTGACACTGGTCGGAGCAAGAGAGCGATCCAAAATGCATGACAGACTCAAGCAACTGAGTATTTCTTATGAAGGAAATTCAGTCATTCATCCACATTGCACAATTCATGTTCCCAGTGGTTGGTAAATAAACATCTCAAACTCAAGAAGCAAAAAAAGGGAAGAATTTTTAAGCCCCACGCATCCACTTCCAGGAGCCTTAGGTTCTCAGAGTGAGATAAGTGCAAATACATGCTTGGTCAGAGACACACTGGTGTACAATAATTGTGAATTGTCATCTCCCAATGAGAGGGTCAGTTCTGTCTTTTACCACGAATCAAGACTGTATTGGAAAGAGTTGCTGTTTACGAGAAATTTCCTTTCAGAAGACTCTCGATAGGACATTATTCGATAAAAAGCATAACGGAGAAAAAATTCAGTAGAGATTAGGTGTTAAAGAGTTCTGTGGGACTTTTTAGAGCTGGTTTGTGTTTGAGTCTCTTGAAAGGTTAATTTTAATTTTCTAAAAGGCCTATTTATTCTGTATAGGGCTGGGAGTGTCTTGAATGGGACTTCTCTTAGTAATTCTTATATTAGTATATTTATTTATGTATTTGTTATGTATAGATTAAATGTTTACATGTTGAGATTTAAAACCATATAAACATATATATGATTAAAATAATGTCTCCCTCCATCTCTATCCTTGAACCTCTTAGTTCTTCTCTTTTATGGTTTTGTTTTTTGCAGTGCTGGGGATTAAACCCAAGGCCTTGGCCCTGGTGAATACGAGGCAAGTACTCTACCTCTGAGCCACAGCCCAGCCCTCCAGATCTTCTCTTTAGAGGCAATAACAATTACCATTTTCTTTTGTATTAAAAGCGTTAAATGGGCTCTGGGAAAGAAGTTCGGCTTTCCATACATTCTAAGAAGGATTAGCAGCAGGGTAGGGGGTATGCAGGGGTCACCGCATAGCTATGTGGAATTCAGATTTAAAATTCAAAGGGGCCCTGGAGTTGTGGCTTGAAACACTGAAATGGTATAGATGGCCCTGTGACCTTGACACTGGATTGACATTTTTTTTCTTTTTACCAAATTGCAGTATTAAAAAAATGACAACATCATTCCCATGCACTGAGAACCTATGCTATTTGGATTTCATTGCTTTCTTCAGCTTTTGTGGTGGTAATGCTCAAGGACGCCAGTCATCTTAAAGCCCGGCATCCGGGCATTCAAAGGGAATGCAGACGTGCTTTTAACATAGACTCACAGAATGAAAGGTATCAGCCAAGGCTACTGCTTATTGTAGAGATAGGAAATTGGGCTTTATGGACTGAAAGGCCAGAAAGCTATTTAACAGTAGGGCTGGTAACATAAGATAACTTCTGTGGCCTTTTTTTTTTTTTTTTTTTTTTTTGCCGGTGCCGGGAATCAAACTCACGACTTTGCGCTTGCCGAGCAGGCACTGTGCCTCTGAGTTAAATCCCCAGCCCCTCTGTGGCCTTTCTTATACTGTCCTAAAATGGGAAAGAGCTTTGTTTTCACTCGGTGATTGCATCTGACTTAAGTGGGAGTTCATATTTAGGGCAGAAAGTTTGCATACCTTTGGAGTAGCTACCTGAAGATGCATCCCGAATTTTGCTGCACTCATCATGATGGAGTGAAGGATATTGTTCCCATCCCCTATCCAGCTGAGGGTTAGACCTTTGAGAGAGCCATAGTGTTCCTAAAAGGCAAGGGATGAGGGCGATTAAATCCAGAAGGAAATCCACTCTTGGGCAACAATTATTAGGATTAAAGTAAATAGCCTTTTCCTTCATTTTAATGCCATGTTGGAATGAATAAACTACTAAGCGTTTTTGCATAGTACAGAAGAATTCAATAACATGACTGCACATTCACAAAACAATAGTAACATCTCCTAATATCTCAAACCAAGACATCTTATGACCTTGTACAGAGACTCAGATTTTCACGCATTTCAAATTTGAACTTCAAGTTATTTCAACAGCTGACCACCATGGATGTCCAGACATCATCCTTGGCCCTAGAGGTATAACTACTACAAAGGAGACAAACATCACTGCTTTTAAGGAGCTTTCATTCTTTGGTTTAAGAAAGGGGGAAAACAATACACCTGGAACATGGCATAGTGACCCTGAGCATGTTCCCATTTATACAAAAAGTGGAAAAACATGCCCAACAATATTGTTGGTTGCTTTTGGGCATAGCTGTGTATAAATTATAAGCATATGTCTGAGAATCATAAATACAAATAGCAAGACAATGATGTCCTTGCATACTGGGAGTAAATGGGTAGGCAGAGTTACACAACCGGCTTCAACTCAGTAACGTATTATTTGAAAACAGTAACTCTAAACTCTTCCTCCATCACATTACGGTGTAACTAAACTGTGATGGGCATAACGGGCATTTGTTTTATTTTTCTTGAAGTGTTTGTAGGTCCCATGTGTTTTACATATTTATGTATTTATAAAGATAAGATAAAAAAGAGAGAAAGGCTAAGTTATTTGGAGATCACAGAACCACTAGACGGTTGAGCTAGAATTTAAAACAGTTTGTCTGATTCAGATCCTATGGTCTTGATAAGCTGCTGTTTATTCACCGAAAATCTATTTTAGAATCTCCTGTATAAAGGCATTGCACAAGGTGCTGTCGCAGACACTGTGAAAAGTAAAACAGCTAAATTTTTCCTCAAAGAATTTATAATTTACTAACGATAAAGCCCTTGGGAAAAGACTTAAATTATCTGGTGTCTGTGTAAAGCCATACGGTAAACTGGCATCTGACGTCATTGCTTCTTTTCTGCATGGATCTTATTTTCATTTCTGAGTAGTTTTATTTGAAGTTTAATCTCACATTTAAATGTGTATAGTTTATTCAAATGGAGAGGAAGATGGGCCTATCCAGTTTACCTGCCTCCTTAGAATCATCCATAGACATAGTAACCATGGTTGTTGGGATGTCAACTGGCAAAACCATGTAGACTGGCTGAGGCAAACCAAATGAAACACTTCCTTTAAAGTTATTTGAGCTCCTAATTTGGGAGCACATAGCCATAGGAGAGCCTCAGCTCTATAAATCCTGCATGTCTTAGCCCTACTCTTAAACAACAAATTTATTAAAATAATAGATAAGGCCCTCCTTTTTAAGAGAGATTTACTAATTGACCATTTTAAATATTCAAAGCATGCTCCATGGGTCTCCATTCCCAAGCCACAGTCTCTGATTATGTAAGATTGCATAAAGCTTGTCCATTCTGCATGCTCTAGCATTTCCTATTCATCCATTGGGTTAAATATGACACCAAAAAGCAAAGTGATTGAAAGAACAAGAGGTGTGAGAGGTGGCTAACAGGGGTCGGAACAGGGTTCGGTGCAGAAAGATCTTATAGACTGTGTTCAATAATGACTTTTTTCCTTGGGATACGCAGTATGCTCATATTTATGATAATTCTTTGTCATGGTGATATTTGAAAATAAAACATTAATACCATCATTTAAGTAAATGGCTCCACTTATGCTAGTCAAGAGTTATTTGTTAATTTTGCTCGTTTGTAAGGCAAAGAAATCCACCAACCTGGAGTGTGAGGTAATCAGCCAGGATCTGGATAGGATGATACATATCGGACAGTCCATTGACAATTGGGATGGATGCTTCTTTAGCCAGCGTGTCCAGATCTGAATGCTTAAATACTCGAGCCAACACAGCATCTGTCATACTAGATAACACACTGTGGCAAATCAAGAAAAGATAATCTAAGTTAATTGTACTTAATAACTCCTTCTTTAATACAAGGTCCTAAACAATTAATTAAAATGCTAATAAATTAGAATTTCTATTAGGTTATAACTACGTACCAACATGACAGATTTTTAAAGCTAATATTAAACATTTAGTCACTACAGATGACAGATGTTGTTCCACCCACATCTTATCCACTGGCCAGCAATATTATATTTGTTATGGTTTACATCTCCATATTTTCCAAGAGCTTCATGCACTCATAGGTGGGGCTTTGAGAAGGCAATTGGATCATGGGACTCTAAGTTGACGTGCTGTTAGGAGGTGGGATCTGGTGGGAAAAAGTAGGTCATTGGGAATGTGGCCTGAAAGAAGTTATTTCCCTTCCCAGCTCCTCCCTTTGCTCTCTACTTCCTGGTCTCTCAGACATCAGCACTTTTCATCTACTATGCCCCTTTGCCATGCTGTTCTGCCTATGGGTTGAAACTTCTACACACTGTGAGCCAAAATAAACTCCTCCTTCCTTAAATTGTGGGTGACCAGTATTTTATGGTCAACGAGGAAAGTGATGAAGACAACATTTTTTTTTTTTTTTGGTTTTTCTCTGGTACCGGGAACCGAACTCACGACCTTGCGCTTGCCAGGCAGGTGCTTTTGCCGCTGAGCTAAATCCCCAGCCACTGAAGACAACATTTTTATGGAGATAAATCAGTTGTGGGCCCAGAAAACACAATGATGAAGTATAATGAATAAATGGCCATTAAGTTTAAAAGGACAAAACCAAAAGCAAGATACACAGAGCAACATTAATTACCTGGCCTGTGGCTAATTTTCTATGACATTATCCCACAAAAATATATATTTTCTCTATAAAACTGAAAGTGCCAGTGCAGTAGCCGTGGAAATGCAGATACAGATTGCCTGTAGGAGAGAACATGCTGGGAGGAGAGGTGTTGGCTGCTGGCCTCCTGCCAGCAGCACTGTGCTTCGCAGATTGCTGCAGCATCGCTGCTAACGCCACAATCTCTCTGGGATGTTCTCATCCAAATGACCCATGACCTCAATGACTGATGACCAAGCATGCCAGAGAAACCAGAGCTAGGCCACTCCTGCCTGTCTCAGGACCTCTGTTTTAGGCAGTCTTTGCTCTGGGTTTCTCATTGGCCTGGGCTGGCTGAGACAGTCTCAGAACTCTGCTGTGATCTAGCTTTCTCCATGAACGACCCTCCTGCATGGTCACATCTGCACCCACTATGAAGACCCTCCCCCAACTCCCTTGGGGTTCTGTGTCAGGAAGGAGGGCAGGAGCACCCTAGCTATAGTCCTCCTCCTTCTCCTTCCCTTCTTTATCCTGCAAAGATGTTTTCCGCTTATACATCTCTTGATCTTGTAATTCCATCCTGGAGTCTGCTTATTAGTGGATCTGACCTGACATAACAAACAATGAGCTCTGGTGCTTATAAAATTCATCGAACACTCCTTGCCCCCAGAGATTAGAGGATTGAAGATTGAACACCATATTCCTGTAACAATAATTCTGAGATTCTCAGAATTTTTTCAAATTCTTATTTGAAAGATAAGAATTTGATTTCTTATACCAAGATTTCTTATACCAAGAGTGCCCAGATTTTCAGTTGTGAATGAGCAAAATTTCCAAAACTGTAAGAGTCCCAACTCCTTGTTCAGCATATTGAGCCCATGAGAAACAAGTGAATAAGTAACATGTTTTTACAGTGATTTAGAAAAAGACAGTACATTTTTAGCACAGAAATAGTTGCGAAGGGCAGAGTTGCAAAGAATGATTCCTTTTTTTTTTTTGGTACCGGGAATCGAACTCAGGACCTTGCTCTTGCCAGTTAGGCACTTGTGCCACTGAGCTAGATCGCTGGCCATTTCATACATTGTTCTTAATTTCTTAATTTTTCTTATTTCACTACTCCTGATTGAAGCTTTTCTATAGCAGAACATCAGAGAGGGGAATCAAGATTTGCACTGCTCTCAACACACTGTATGATATAGCAAGGCAAGGTGAAGAAAACAGCCACTTTATAGTTTCTTTGGAAAAACAGGTAATGTTGGTTAACTTTTGGTAGTGGACTAAGACTAGGAGTTTGTAGAGTTTTTAAAACCTGATTTCTAGGTCGTATGCTATTAATTATGTTGGAGAAATCAGAACCTCAAGGAGTTAGACTGCTGTGTTTTAGAGCTAAAGTGCCCCCCAAAATTCTTGTGCATGTGCAAGGTGATTTCATCATGGGAACATTATACTCATCAGTGGATTCACCTCTTCTCTGTCTGTTCTTTGGCCACCAAGACACGAGCAGCTGTCCTCCACCCAAGTGGGTTGTCACCAGTTCAGACTGGGGAGATTTGGACAGCCCAAAGAAGAGATGCAGAACTGTCAAAATGTCTGAACATGCCTTTATTCTCAATTGCTCAGCTCAGTCGCGTGCACTTGGTGGCAGTCCTCAGGCCCCTACCACGTGCATTAGTTTCTCACCAGGGCTTGCGGCAGTCTAAATTTATATGAAAATGCACAATAGTGGCCATGTGAGAGCAGATCTTAGTTATATCTGTCATTTACAGTGGGGTGGGAGGATATAGTGCAGGACATGAATTATGCTGGAGTTCGACTGACACACGGAACACACTGCCTGGCAGATTCCCTTCTCTCACAGCCTGAACCAAAGTACTGCACCACCATCTTTCCCTTCTACCATGTGGTTTCTGCCTCAGAACCAGCCAATCTGAACTTTTAAACTATGACCAAAAATACACCTCTCCTTAAAGGTGTGATTGTTAGGAATTTTGTCTTAGCATTGGAAAAGTGACTAAGACAGGGATGTAAGAATTGATACTTTTAAAAATTTCCCAGGAGATTCCAGTTTGCAGCTGAGAATCAAAGCTAACAGTTGCTCCTCCAATCAACATCAGCACTTCCTGCAGAAGTACAGCAGGCTCTGCCCAGATTTACTGAAGCAGAACCTGCATTTTAACAGGGTCTCCAGGTAATTACCTTACATATTAAAAGTGGAAACTCCAGATCAAGAAGGAACTGAGGCTACCACATTTTTTAAAATATCATTCATTCCTTTCTTAGAATCCTAATCATGCAAAAAATCTAGTAAACAAAGCTTCTAAGATGGTAGCTACAATGACAAGGAGTGACTTCTAGGCCAACTGAAGGAAGAAGTCATCTTAAATTCTCTGTGAAAAGAATAATTCACCACTTTAAAGCCTCCTTCATTAGCATAACCGGTTACCGCAATCTATCAGATGCCTTGCAACAATGGCTCCCATACCTTGGTGTGTATCAGACCTAAGAGGAGAACTAATAGATTACACAGAATTCTAGGCTCTAGGTATAGAATTGGCCTGGGACATTTTATGCATAAGTGATTCAGATAACCTTCCAAAGAGCTATTAACCTAAAGCATAGACTGCTACGTTTAAAGAATTTTACTTCTACTTTTCCCCTTCTCAGGATCTTAGTACAAATCCCCTTCCCAATACAGACTTTCCAAAGCACCCTGCTAGATATTCCTTGTTTAACCACCTACCTATCTAACCACTGCTTAGATTTACAACCCTCTGCTCAGACTTATGACTTGTCTTTTTTTTGGTACAGTTTTGTACATCTTGTTTGAGTCTCAGTATCTTTTGAAAGGTACACCTTTTTTATACAGTACTGTAATTTTTGCTGTTTTTCTATATAGTACTGTAGTTTTATGTTCTGTTATGCATAACAGTATTGCCTATAAGAGTTAGGCAAATAAAAACAAAGTCATCAAGTTGAAATTTCCTTTGACCATTTCTTTTTTCTGAGTATTGTAATGTATGTACTATATAAAACTCCTCATTTAATGACTAATTCATTTAACGTCCTGGTTGAGGGAACACAGCTTGGTCATTAAAGGAGGAATGTCTGTATAAAAAGTAACTTAGATGGCGACAAATATCCCAGTAAGGTTTATATATTTATTTTGGTTTTTTCTCCGGTACGGGGAACCGAACTCACGACCTTGCGCTTGCCAGGCAGGCGCTTTGCCTCTGAGCTAAATCCCCAGCCCCTATATATATTTATAATATATATATTTATAACAAGCTATCAATTCCATATTTTTTTTGGTACCAGGAATTGAACTCAGAACCTTGCACTTGCAAGGCAGGAGCTTGTGCCAATGAGCTGTATCCCTGGCCTTCAATTCCATATTTTAAAAGAATTAGTTAATTTTATGATACCTACAACATCTTTGAGGATGACAGGCAGAGGGATGTGACCTTATATATCATCTTAGTCACTTTCTTTGTCACTGGGACAAAATACCTGACACTTACAACTTAAAGGAGGAGAGGTTTACTTTGACTCACATTTTTACTCCGTAGTTGGCCAACTCCAGCACAGGAAGACGTGGTGGCAGCTTTTAGGGGAGGAAAGCCACTCACCTCGTGGTAGCCTGGAAGGAGGGTCAAGGGAGGAGCCTGGAAGGCTGTGGGTGTGGTCTCCCTCTTCTGACCAGCCCTCACCTCCTACCAGCAAGTCAGCTAGATTGCTCTCGCACTTCAACCACCTTGCAAACACAAGAGCCTTTAGGGAACATTTTAGGTCTAAACCATAGCACATGTCATACTTTCCTACCTCAGACTTCTTTAAATACACATGGCTTCCTAAAGGGTGTACAGATAAGAGCAAATATATGGGTGAATATTGTAGTTACCTTTCTGGAATGTCACTGATCGAAAAGCAGATTTGACTGTTATTATAGTCCTTCAAGTTATTTTTGGGAGCTAGAACCACAAGCTGCCAATGTTTTAGGCTTTCCATGGACTTTTTAAGGCATTGTTAACTTTGGCTAGATTTCTTGTGTATCAAATATAAACATTAATTTAACCTCATAGGTTACGTAGCTTCTGAAACCTAGAAATAATTAGAGCAAGGGGATGAGAAGGAGGAAAGGTGAGGCTGAAAGAAGGAATGTTAGAGTAGTC